GGTTCTACTGAGATTGAGATGAATGTTCAATTGCCTACGTGCGACACTATGGCAAAGGACAAGACACTGCGCTTGCATCCCGACTGCAGTTGGAAGAATGTCAATGTGTACCACTGGATTAAGGTGAGCCCTAAAACTTTTTACTGCTGTGGAAGGCAGCCGCTAATGTGAACAGATCGTCATGCGAATCTCTCGCCTTGACCCCGAAGATCCCACCGGTACCAAGCGCCGCCACTTTGAGATCTCAATCGACTCACCCTTCACGGTCCTCAACTGCCGCGCAACGCAAGCCAACACCTCTCTCCCAGAGTACTCTGGTCCGGACAGCTGCCTCGCCCAAAGTCGTCAAACTTCGTGCGGATGCCCCGATGCCGTAACCATCGCCGGACCTCCTGAGGGCTCTCCCAACAACCTCTCAACCGGCGCTCTCACAATCACCGATGCGAACGCCGAGCTCCCGGCACCACCTCAGGCCGCCCATCTCCCATCCTCACCAACACCTACGCCCGGAAGCGGGGGCCGCTCCTCACCACCGAACTCCAACACCGCCGTGGTGGATCCTTACGACAATCAAGCCCGCCCAATCCACCTGCTACGCGTGCCCTCATACAACCCACCGGCCTTTGACGCCGAGATCCCTCCCCCCCCCGTCGAGAATCTCACGGCGCAAACTCCTCCGCCTCAGTACGATGTCATCGTCGGCACACCAAGTGTAGATGGTTTGGCCGATTACTTCACCCGCCTGGCAGACTATGGCTACGACGAGCCCGAGGAGGATTCCGACTCAGACGAGGGTCCCGCGCGCATATCGGAGCGTGGCGGCCGCGTCAACGTCGCTCACCCGCGCACCCCCGGCGGCAGGCGAGCGCCCAGTCGCAGCCTCGAGATCCAGCGCCCTCCGATGCAGCTCGACATGAACGCGCTGCCCACGCTTGCGCGGAACCAGCAACAACAACGACAACAACTCCAGTAAACACGTTTGATATAACACGCAGTAATTGACTATAAAAAGTGGAGGAATATGTGGAATGCGGGCGAGGGGAAATGGGGGTTTGGCTATCTGGATTTGAAGCTTGCTTACGCATGATGATTACCACGGATTGAGGAACACAAAATCAACCACACAATCGCATTACCCTGGGTTAACGTCTGTTGGTTTTGGTTGGCGCATTCACATACTGGATTCGGGTGGTTTCTCCCCCAGCTGTGGGGATTATTTGGATGCTCTACAGATTCAGAGCAATTCCGTTCTTTGGCGTTCTGTGTACTTCATCTACTTGGATATACCTGGACACTCATGTCCCGCTGTTTGAATATTGAAGAAACGAATTTGTATTCAACTGTATGATCTGATTTAGTGCTCGCTTGTACTCTGCCTCGCTGGATCTATCACGATCGGCCACACTTTCATGATGAAATCATAACATCGACCTAGACATCTCTCATTCTATTGATGGACTACAGTACCAGCCGAGGACATTCCCAACCTCGGCCAAAGAACCAGCTTACGCAGCCCACCAGGCTCGTCTCCCACACAAGTTCGCCACGTCAAACCTTCCCCCCAACCATAGACGACGCCCCGGGCTGTCCCGACCTATCGGTTCAGGTCGAGGTGTTATGGGTACTGATATCTGACACCGTGGAGGGCGAATAAGGGGGATGGGGTGGGCATGATTGAGTTCCTCCAGGGGGGTTGTATGCTGTGTTTTCGCAGGTAGTCACGGCAAGGTAGGGTAGGGAGTGAGGTACTCGGTGGGCGGCGACGGCGACGGAGAGTTACTGCGTTAAAGGGGGAACAGGGCTGATTGGTTCGTGGCGGGAGAAGGCATGGAAAAGTTCTGTGGACGGGGCCTCCTTTTGCACGTGCGGTGGCTACAACCTCTCGCGGGCACGTGGGGAGGGAGTACGGGGTGAACCTTGTTTTGTTCTCTTTACTCTGAGGGAGCGGTTGGTTGCACGGGGGAGTTTGCCTGGTTTGGGGTGTCATGCCGTGTGCTTTGATATGTTCTTCTCCCTTTCAAGTGTGGTTTCTACAGTTGATGGCATTATGAGCGGCATTGTGAAGGCGGGATGGGCGACGTATGCTTGATGATTGAGGGTGGGCACATTGATGTGAGAAGTTAATGCTTGACGGCTGCTACGATGAGAGCATCTGGTGGCAATCTAGATCATCGGGCGGGAAGTCGCTGCTAGTCGGAAGGCTCGCGAGCTGTAAATAGGACACAAAATACACACGAACAAATAGAATTGATGTTGGTGGCACGGATTAATGCATAGAGACAGTTGGGACGGCCAGGAAGTTAGAACCGTGGGGGAGAAGAGAGCAGTCTTCCGTGCGTATAGCTACTACGAAGAAGCACCAAGAGGCTGGTGTCAGGCTTCTAGAAAGCATATTTTGAAGAGATTGAATCGGTACTGGGAAACATTTGAAAGCTGAGATTTGTGTGATTGTCGATGAGTGAGATGTCGTCATCCAGCGCGAGCTGCAAAACTCGCATGCGGGACATCCCTGGAGTGAGCGCTTTCAGGGAACGACGATAGTTAACGAGCGCTTGGTTTTTGGGGTTTGACTTTTCCTTGTATTCTAGATTCGACGCGCACGGCTTTTGGACTGATGGCAGCGTCCTTGCGTGTGGCGTCGTTCTTTCGTTGGACTTTTCATGTTGCCATGGGATATCGAGCGCGGTGGAGGGATTGGTCGGTTTGGCTGATGTCTGCCGAAGTATGAGGACTTGGGATCGTCGATATTTTGCTGGTGCGGGATAGAGTTGGGCGGCGGGAGGCCGGCATTGTGGGTGAGAGAATCTCCGGGTGGTTTCTCCGTCGGGGGATGTGGGTTAAATGCCGGGTTGAGATGGGTTTGGAGTGTAGGTTGCGATGCTTGGAGGTGTTCTTGGCGTGGAGATATTGGGGGTGGGTGAAGGTCTGGTGGTGGGCTCGAGATGTGGACGGACTGGGATGTGGTGAGGTTTGCGATGGGTTCGGAGGCTGGCGTGGAGAGTCAGAACGGCTGACGCGAGCTGAGCATGTTTGGGGTACCAGAGAACCCCGGATTATCCGCGAGCTTGGAGAAGATTCCTCGAAGGTTCGGCATTTTCGTCTGATGTCTCGAAGCGTATCTAAGTGACTTGGACATGGTGCTTACTCAGATCGTTGCCACTTGCTAGAGGTCCAAAGCGAGACGAGAGTAGCTGAAGATGTGAGCCTTCACGCTGGGGTCTGGGGTATTCGAGCTTGTGTTCTCGTAGGTTAATCGTCAAGTGCTCCTCGGATGGCGTGTCTTTGGAGGTTGTGTTCATGCTAGATGGAACCCTCTGCAAAGTCGTCAGAACCATGTTATTACAGTCACCGGGTCATGATAACTGTCGGAGACCTTGACAGGCAGACTTGGAGCGTAAAGGACGAGCACCTCACAGTTCCATCGAGATCGTGGTGCTTACTGCTCCTTCGAGCTAATCGGTCTTAGGGCTAGCATGAGACGCCAACGCTCACGAATGAGTTTGGCAAAACAGACCGCTTGCATAATTTTGTGATGTTCTGGCCAGAGAATTACTAGCCATACGGTTGAGTTAGCGAAATTGTAGATCAAACCACTGACTTTTGATGAGAGTGATTTCAAAAACCGACCGGAAGAGAAAGGAAAGACTTGCAAGAAGTGGCTCTTGATATTTCCAGCAAGAAGCGAAGTTTCGGTTGGTACGGCTGAGTCCATTATTATAGCAGTCGCCAGGTATGACCTTAGCTACCAAGCCAAGATGTGGATGGTCAAAGAAAGACACATAGGACACAATTGATGCCAGATATGGCTAAATGCATTGCTAAGCACCGGCACGTCGCGTGATTTCTATGTCAGTGCAAGCTGGTGAATGTAGTAGGAAACTGTCTGCATGTCCAACTCACGATTAGAGGGTCTTCCTAAGCGGTCCAAACAAGTAGGACTATCTTGCCTTGTTCTTCCGTTGAAAGGCTCAGTGAGTACGTGTCAATTAATCTGCGTGGATTACCCACTTGGCGAACTTGACATAATCTTGTGTCAAGGGGTCTGCTTCACGACTCCGATACATTACACATTCAGCAACCTGGCGGATGCTTAGCTATCAGCGTAAAGCATGGCAAACGTGGCGAGCGAGAAATGCATCACATGTCATTTGTCGTCTGCTTTGAAGGCACATTAAATGACACTGGTTGTGTTCTGGCCTGGCATCTCGAAGACCTCTGATGACGGCACAGAGCTGAGGTTTGGGGGCTAGCTCAGCAAGGCACACTTATGAATACGAGGCGAGGGCACTTTTGGTCTTGGCAATAATTCCATGTTACATTGTTCACAGAGGAAGTACCCACGATGCTAGTCAAGCGGCGGATGCCTTACAACTTTTCTGGGAACCGACAATCCGTAGGACTGCTGAATGGTCTCACATTTCCCGAATTGAGGTAATGAAAGTATGCGTCTCGTGTGACTAAAATCCTAGAGTTTAGGCATCTGTAGGCCACGAAAATGTGACGCTGGTTTCATTTATTGTCAGTTTTCGTGCTAAGCCGCTTCCCTCCTCAGCCCCGGGGCTGTCTTTGTCTGTCTCTTGCCTATCACTTGGGGGTTTATCTGTTTCGTGGAGCTTGATAGGCCAGACAACTCTAGCTATTAGGATGCCGTCAGACTCCTTGTGGGTCGCGTCGGGCGGAAGATCGGCGTTTTGTCATCATGCTGACAGGTACCCGACCTGCAGCGGAGCTTAAGCTTAGAGACATGAGAAGTAATGCCAAGGCAAGAAGGAATTGACGGCCGTTAATTGAGTGATAGTCGTGCCTTGCGAACTGAAGTGTCAGGTGACAAGTTTCGAGGTCTTGTCTTGGCTGGGTACTGGTCCACAGATGAATGATATAAAAGTCAATGGTTGAATCTCGAGAACTAATATCTTCTCCATCCAAAGCACTCCCATCGCAATCAAAACAACAGAAGCCCTTCAAAATTACTCAGTTTCCAACCCTAACAAATTATCAAAATGCGTTTCACCATCACCGCCATCGCCTCCATCCTGGCCGCGGCCAGCGCCGTCTCCGGCCTCAGCGTCGAAGAGGCCCGCGAGATCCGTCCCCAGGTTGAGGAGTACCTCAACACCCTGAAGATCAGAGACGTTGAGAAGCGCAACTTCTGCACTGACCACTGGAAGACTTGCGAGAACTGCTTCGAGAAGTACCCTTACTGTCACATGGATAACATCCCGAGCTCAATCAACTGGCAAGTTACTCTGTTCATGAGCACAACTGTGTGTTTCAATGCATTTATAAACAATGCTGATATCTACCGTTTAGTTTGGCTACCTGCAGCTCCTGCCCTGGAGACTGTTAAATATACACGATGACATGCTGGAGCTTAAAGATCTGCCATTGAATTCAGAACAGATCGAATAGGAGGAAGCAAGGAGGGCTGGATTGATCGGGTTTTTATTTCAGAGTCTGTCGCTACATTACTTTTCACAATTTACTAGTTGGCCAACAAGAAAGTACGCCCCGCAACTGATATGTTGTCATGTAAATGTGAACCTCCAACTGAAAACATCCAGCAAGTTGACGGAGACGTGTTTTTGCCCAACGACCATGACCGAATCGGAAAGCATCCAAGCCGCTTGGCTACCGAGAACTTTGTACGCTAATCATTTGGAACGGCGATTAAATTATTCGGCTAAGTGAGGAAGACCCAACCATGTCCTTCATTGCAACATGTGTTGAAAACGCCCTGCAGCGTTGTCAAGGCCCCGCCCCCGCATCATTTGACCAACCAGATGCTAGCACCAAGATGTTGTCATAGTTGATCTGGACTGAACGAAGGGCGCATTTGTGACCGCACCTGAGATTGGCATATCAAGGTTGATAACGCCCCCTCTTCTACATGCAATCATCTCAGTGTGATATCTAGCGCAACACTCCAATCAGCCGTTTACGAGTGCTGTCAATTCCGCTTGTATGCTCTCCAAGACCGGACAGAGTGGGGTATCGAACTGCGACCTTTTTGACTCAATTAATGTATTGAGTCATTGAGGCGCGCTAAGCTTCGCTCTTATCAAACCGTTACCACTATTTAACTCACAAGCCACTTCATCAGACCATCTCGTCAACCCCGCAACTTCCCCTCAACCACAACACCGACAACATGGACCACGGCCTCTCAACCCGTGGCAGCGAAGCGGCCAAGCCAGACGATGGCATGCTTCTTTGGACCATCGTCCAGGACCTCTGGGACCCAACAACGAATCCGACAGGATACATCAGTCTCGGTATTGCCGAGAACTCACTCATGCACGAAAGATTATCGGAGCACATCCACAAGAACCTCGCGGTTCCGACGCACTCTTTCACATACGGTGATGGCATGGCGGGATCCAAGCGATTGAAGGCATCTCTCGCACGCTTTCTTACAGGCCACCTCAAACCTATCACGGCCATCCAGTCGGAACATGTCTCCGTGACCAACGGCTGCAGTTCGGCAATCGAACATTTAGTTTGGGCGTTAGGAAACCCTGGGGACGGGTTTCTGCTTGGACAACCCCACTACGGCGCGTTCGTTCCGGACGTGGAGTATCGGACGGGCTGCAAGCTTGTCCCGGTCCCTTTCCAAGATGTTGACCCTCTTGGGGCCGGTGCCGCGCAAAAGTACGAGGACGCTTTGCTGGCTTCCCGGGCCAAGGGTGTCAAGATTGCCGCGTTGATCCTGTGTCACCCGCACAACCCACTCGGAAGGTGCTACCCACGGGATGTTATTCTGGATCTGATGCGGTTGTGCCAGAAGTACGACATGCACCTCATCAGTGATGAGATCTATGCGCTTTCCGTTTGGAATAATACCATCGACACTCAACCTCCTCCAGTGGCGTACGAGTCTTGCTTGTCGATCGACACGACCGGAGTCATGGACGCACACAGACTTCACGTTCTCTGGGGCATGTCTAAAGATTTTGGGGCCAACGGCATCAGGCTTGGAGCTATCATTTCTCAGCACAACCCCTCTTTCCACAGATCTTTGACACCGGTCGGCATTTATAGTTCCCCGTCCTCGATCTCGGATCATATTACTGCGAACATCCTTGACGATAGCGAGTGGGTCGACGGCTACATTGCGGAGAACCAGAAGAAGCTTCAAGAGCACTACGAACTAGTTGTAGCCTGGGCGAAGCAGAATGGGATTACGTATGCGCAGGGAGCAAATGCGGCGTTCTTTTTGTGGATGGATTTGGGGAAGACTTATCTCGAGCGACATCCAGAGAGAAAGGTTGAAGATCTTAGCGGAGAGGTGATGCGCGCGTTGTTGAGTAAGAGGGTGTTCATTGCTTCCGGGAAGCAATTTGGTTCTGAGAGACCTGGTTGGTTCAGGATCGTCTTTTCGAATAAGAAGGATCTGTTGCTCGAGGGTCTGAAGCGCATTGTCGAAGCGATTGAAACGTAGACGCAGATACCAAAGTATAGAAAGAAGAGATGTACATGACTCCCAGGGAACGAATCCCCTCAACATCCGATTCCATCGATGATGTCATCTACAATTGAATCGGACAGAAGTTGCGACCGCAAGGGACTTCTGCAACACTAGGACGGCAAAACTGGAAACTCCGAGCTCAGGCACTGAGTTGCCTCGCGTTTGCCGTCGGACTTTAATCGATCCCGTAACTGACCTAGACTGATGAAAGGTATCTGTAGCGGACTTACCGGGTGGCTGGAGATAGTAAAGCTGCGCCCTACCATCCAATAAGGCGTTGCAGCGGGGGTTGCCCAGGCCCCAAAACTGCCAACTGAGTCAGGTTCATGATAGTGTCCGGCGGGATGATCGACGACTACGTGCGGAGTTCGCATCTTTGGAAACTTTAGATCCCAAATTCGCTGTCATTTCATCTACAAGTAAAGTTTCTTTAGATTAAATCACCTGTTAGACTTATGCAGTCTCGCTTTCGCCCCTCAGTTGGTCTCTTGGTATGCTCTTTTACGCGGACGTACAGCCTATGAACAACAGTCATAGTCGTTGATAGTCGTAACGATTCCGTGCGGAAGCACCAGAAACCTTACTAGGACCTTTGTTTTGTGGATACGAAACCGAGAAAGCATTCGTATCATTGTATGGTTCGCTGATATATAGTCTGGTGTTGTACTTCTGTAACGCCGAAGTGGTATAAATAATGAAGTTGAATTCTGCCGTCCCACCGGCTTCTGTTTTGACCACACAGTTATACGCTTCCATAAGAGTACCTTACACATCACAATGAACGCCAAGGCCCTTCTCGCTCTCCTGTTCGCCTCCGCGGCGATGGCCACTCCGTTGGAATCGACCAACAACGGTCTTCTGGGCCGCGAGCCTCTTCCTCAAGGAAACTGCTGCTCTTACATTCCCGGAACATGCAACTGCGGCTGCGTAAGTGCCCTTAACTCTGATTCGTGATAAGAACATTTGGACTGACATGGGTTGTAATTGTAGTGCTCGGGTGTAAGTCAACTACTGCCTCCTTGTCTACAGAGTTTAGAACTAGTGCGAGTTGAACTGCCTATGATACTAACATGAACTAGGGACCCTGCGCTACCGACAATGACCCAAATGCTACGTGCCCGTAAAAGATGTTGTCATCACAGAACCAGCCGCTTGGTATCGCGGAGAATTTCTAGACAGTTGAATAGGAAACGGAGCAACTTCTTTTTCCTCAGCTGTGTATCTACAACCAAATAAACAAGTAACTTCCTCTAACGACTTCTGCGCGCCCCATCAACGTCGAATTTCTTCAGCTTAGCAGCAGTATCGCATTGACAGCATGAATGTCTTTCTGAGAAAGAATGGATTGTTCAAATTCATGCCTCTTTAGAATGTCCGAGGAACGTGCGCGCTTTGCGAGGACGGAAGAAATACTGGGCAGACTTAACCGGACTTCTTTCCTGCTGATTTTTCAAATGAACCAGCAAAAGTAGCTGCATGTTACAACCTTGGGACCCAGAGGCCGCTACAAACTTGGCTTCGTGGCCCGCGTCTGAAGATCTCCAGAGGACGGCAGGGACAACCTCCTTTGAAATTGGCCATGTCCGTGATGCTTAGTTTTGTAGCGGTTCCGATCTTATGCTACTTCATACAACGTCCTTAAAGGTCTACTGAAAAAACATAATTTGCCAAAGATTGTGTCCAAAAGCAGACGATTAACCATGTGGCTATGCCCGAGATCGGCCAGCACCGACACGGGCCACTTCGGCCCCTGACTCAGGCTGTGGTTCCACTCCCCCGGATTCGGCACCGGAAACTGCATGCGGGTCGCGCGGGAGCCGTAATCCGTGATCCGAATCGCGGTCATTGAGAGATGCACCTCGTTAAAGCCAAGACTCCCCCCAGCCTCAAGTTCTGAGCTTTACACAACTGTTGGATGAGGTAGCGAAAACCAGAAGTCAGGATACCAAACTCATATTTGCATTGATGAGATGTTCAGACATCGAGCGTTCTTGCTCTGTGTACCTTCACAAGTATTTACTCTAGAATTGCGGCTTACCGGAAAAGAGAAAGATCTTGATGATTCCGTGGTCATATGAGTATTGCTTATCCACCTCAATTGTTGTCATTGAAATCAGAACCAAGGCCGTGACGTCTAAAGTCCAGGGGAGACTCTCCACTGAATCAGCCATGGGGTCTGGGTATTTTATCCCTTTGAGGCAAGGTCAATTTTCGGGATCAACGCAGGGATGCTTCTGCAGCCCCCATCTTCCCAGGGCACCTTAAAGCATCCGAACTATGAGTAAAAATCCTTGCATACCCGCGCGGCAGGCAAGTCTTTCTCCTGTTTGACTTGCAGGCTGGCTCCCATCCCCTATGTAAGAATTCACCTCAGCAAGGACATCCATCTTCGACTAGCTGCCTAAGACGGGTCTAAAGGCATATGCGTGATGTGGACAGGGCAAAGTGGAGGTCGTGGATCTTATTCACGGCCCGGGTCTGGATGCAAGAACCTCTTTAGGAATGTCGTTCGATTCAACCTACTATGCGTGCCGGAAATATAGCATGGTAAATATTTTACGTCAATGGAAACAACACAAATTTGTAACCCTTGGAATAAGGCTCAGAAATGGCTGCTTGGTTTCGCTCGGAATGAAGAACTTGGCTCAAATTTGTACGGGAATGGCCGAGTTCGCATGCCTGTTGATGCTAAACCAACAATATTCCGATCGATCCCTTGTAAGCTACACCTTAGCTAAAATTGGGACGCCCAGTGGACCGCCACGTTCATCTGATTACAGCTCCCATCGCTCTTCCCGCGCCAAGAATACGACACTGGGGAGGTCGAGTGGTTGCCCAGTCCCGCACTCCCATCGGAGCCCACATCGCGAGAATTCCCTGCCATTTCTGTCAACTAGACCTACCATACGGATACTAGGTAAGACATGAATCGACCTCAGTGGGG